AAAAAAAAACAGAGGTAAAAAACAAAAGACGGTAACCTGGTTGCAGAGTTCACGCAGTGAATTGGCTTGTTTTACAACGTCGTTGCCAAGCGACGAAAACCCACTCCCGATGGCAAACACTGAGGGGGGGGGCTTGTTGATTAAAGGCGATGAAAACCCAACCCCGATGGCAAACACCGGGGGGGGGGGTCTTTCTAGCGAGCAGGGCTAGACTCACGCTCAAGAGACCGGTACCTTCTTGCTGCGGAGCACCCGCCGCGAGGCGTGCGTAGCGGTGGAGTTGGGTCGGCACTGGTGCGTCAGGTACAGAGGTGCAGATGCGCGGGCCTCCAGGCCGTCGGTGTAGGCAGCAATGCCCATCTCATCTTTGTGCGCGGAGGCAGACGCCATCAGAAAGGTGGACGGCCGTTATGTACACGACCCTAGGTTTGATAGATAGAAGGAGCTGTACTGTCTCAGCAACCTGGCTTTGCCGTCCAAGGAGGAGGGGACAGGTGGTGACGAGCTGATTGGGCTGGTTGACCCTTCGGCGCGAGAATTTTCAGACCAAGAACCCTAAGTGCAACGAGGGAGAAAGCGAGGAACCGACTGGGGAGGACAGCAACGAGAGCGTGTACGAAGCGGAGCGGGTCGAGTTTGGTCGTGCTAGGACTGGCCACAGCGGCATCGGAGAAGCGGCACCGGAGCAGCGGCACTGGAGAAGCGTAACCGGAGCAGCGGAACTGGAGCATGCGGACGGCATCGAACCGTGACGCACGAACAAACAAACTTCTTTAGTTTCTATCCATTATTCTCCGTTTTTTTCCTGAATAGTCTAGTCTAGCTCTATAGGTGTTGGGATGTTGGGTGTGTGTGATGACGCCAGCCACTGGTTTTGTAGGGAGACGCGGCAGAGATGGCGCGGATAAACCGGGTGCCTTAATTGTGCACCTGCATCGTGGAAGACCCCTTCAATGTGGAACGATTCCTAGTCAGTGTCGATGTTTACACTGCTGTGTCTAACACAGATGATCTGGATAGATAATAAATAGATTCGGGTGATTGGCGAGTTCCGGAAATGCGTTTTGAAAAGTTCACTTTCACTTTTTCGGGAAAAGAGCCAGTTTATGGCCGCCCTAAAAATGAACTTTCGACCCCAGGAAGATTTTTTTAGCACGAAGGCCAGCTGGCGTCTGTAAAAGCTCAACATTTACGTTCCTGTTCAAAGTTCATTTTTATGGAAGGGAACTTAGCAGGACAGCAGTAGTAGCACAGCAGCATNAATGAACCTTCGACCCCAGGAAGATTTTTTTAGCACTAAGGCCAGCTGGCGTCTGTGAAAGCTGAACATTCCCGTTCCTGTTCAAAGTTCATTTTTTATGAAAGGGAACCAAGCAGGACAGCAGTAGTAGCACAGCAGCACCGCACAGACAGACCGCACCAGACCACACCAGGGCGAGTAGCGACGGGAAGGATGTCGACCAACGCAGTCCGCCAAAGCTCGAGGACCGTAGCCCCCTCTTTCAAAGTTCGTGATAGGGTTAGCGACGACCAGAACACTCCTTTTCTTGCAGCAGGGCAGCGGAAGGATAGGGAACTGGAGGAGTTCGGCGGAGAAGAGTCGAGAGACAGCAATGGCGGCTCTGGCAACCCACCTCCTCCTGCTGGTGGTCTTGAGGAGGATGGAGTACAGGTCCTGTCGACACCGCGTGGCAATGTGCAGGCTAAGCCACCAAGGAAGGGCAAGTGGACGCTTCCATGCATGATCCGCGTTGCTGAGAAGGGTAAGTCTCTACTGCTGTGTAGATGCGAGAGCACGGCTCTCTTTCTACACATGGTCCATGTTGGGTCTAGACCGCCGTATGTCCTGCTGCTGTTGCCTTGATTCGCAGATAGGATATAGCTCTGGCATGATGCGATAGGATCCAGCTCCGGCATGATTCGAATTTGCAGTTGTACGGCCGCC